GCCTAATGTGTAAAGTCTAAAATTATGTTCTCATGTAGTTTGTCTAATTTTCTAGTTGTTTATAGTGGGAGAGAAAATCTGTTATTCCATCATGGCCATGTTTAACTTTATATGCAGTTTAATATAATAAAAAAATCTTATTGTACAATTTAGTTCCAATTAAAGAAGTCCGGATAAATGTATATCTGCAAGACCATCTTGGATTCTAGAAATTAAAATGTTGGATGATTCATGCTAAGAGGTGAAGGAACATTCATATCTGTTATCTCATCATAAAGAGCATGGGATTTTTTGCCCTGGCCAGGTGGCTCAGCTGGTTGGAGCATGACTCTGTGCACCAAAAGACTGCAGGTTCCCTTCCCAGTCGGGGCACTTACAGGAAACAACTGTTCCATTTTTCTCTTTCACATCAATGTCTCTCTCTCTCCCTTCCTCTTTTTCTAAAATCAATAAACATTTGGAGGGGCTGGCAGGGTGGGAAGAAAATACAGACAACTGTAATTGAACAACAATAAAATAATTTAAAAATAAAATAAAATCAATAAACATATTCTCAGCTGAAGTTTTTAAAAAAGAGTCGGAAAAAACCATACACATACAAAATAAATCAATCAATAAATAAAGCAAGCAAGCATGGGATTTTTTAGGGACGGCTTTAAAATAGAAAACAAGATGTTGATTTTATATTGCCCCTCAGTGACTGGCCTCCCTCAGCCTTGGGTAAGAGAGTCTTTAATTATGGACAATGTCAATCTGTCTCATGTATTACACAGTAGGGGCATTTGTTATGGAACCTGAAAATAATTTAGCATTAGGGTATGTTTACAAGGTACGTGACATTTCATATATATATATATATATATATATATATATATATATAGTAAACATGCACCTCATGTCCATCTTCAAAGCTGTAGAATCTTATCACTGCCAAACTAAATTGTATTTATAAAATTCCTCCCTACCTTCTTCAAACTATTTGGACATAATATTATAACAGCAGTCTTTATTTTCTCCCAACATCATAGACGTCTTTAAAATAAGAGATGCCTAAGAAAAAGCAGGTGAGTATTGCCTCTTGTATTTAGTCTAGCCAATTTACATTAATCTCTGTTTCTCACCAGCCCAGTCTGAGTCGGCCTTTGTCAGTCTAGAGATGAAAAAGAGATGTAAACTGTGGGCAAGGGAATCGTATTTTAGTTGGGATGCCGGAGGATGCTGGGGAGAGACAGACCTGAAGTGAAACTAACAACCGAAAATGGTCCTTTTTGTGCAGATCGTTACTGCTTTCTGCTGTTGTATATAGGAGAATAAACTATGCAATTGCATAATGCTTTGCCCTTCAACATAATAACCCTTTCCTTGTTCGTGTTTGGCTGGTCAGAATTGTCTGCTGTAAGTAAATGGAGCAAAAGCAGTTCCTGGCCCGGATCCTGGAAATACGTGCTAATTTAGCTCATTCCTGCCCCTCTGCTGCCCCTCTGTGGCGGTTCCATTGTGTTTTCAGGTGCACCTCAGTTTCTTTACTTCCCAGCCCCCACCACCTTATCAGACCACTTCAGCAAATTCCAAGTCACGTCCCACTAGCACTTTTGGAACATCTCAGTTGTACAAAACAGTGCTATGACAAAACAGAAGGCTGATGAACACCGTACCTGGGCTCTAGACCCGGGCCCACAGTGCCCAGTCCTGCCTGCCGGTGGTCTATAGCCTCTTGCCAAGCAAACTGCCTTCACCCAAACACCAGTCTTGCTGTTTGCAGACGTGGCTAGACTGGGCTCCAGTCCTGGTGCAATAAAACACTGTCTGCTTCTCCCCCACCCTGTGTAATCTGTGTCCTTTCCACCCCGGAGGCCCCACTGAAGCCACTTCTCCTAGGAAACGGGGCCCAACCACTTCCAAACACAAACCACAGTATCTCAGCACTCAGCAAACACACAGAATGTTTCTAAGTAATTTGAACATGTATCAGAGATACCAAGCACTTAAGTTTTAATAATCCCATAATAAATAAAGGTACTTTAAAAATTAATAAATCATTTATATTTTTATTAGCAACTTCATTAGTCTATGATGTTCCATAAGTGGGAATCTTTGCTTAAGTAGCTCTGTTGGAAGGAAATAGCCAGTGATAACAGATTTCAAGCCCTAGGTTTGAGTGCAGACTCATTTACTGGGTGTGTGACCTCAGTGTATGAGGATGTAGGGTGCTCACCCACATGGCTGTTTGAGGACTAAGAGATAACGCATGAAGAGACTACCAGTGCCTGACATACAGGAAGTTTCTATAAAGGTTAGCTATTAGTAATAGGGATCATTATTCTAAATACTTGTTTCTAGAAACAAGGCAAAAGCTTTTATCACTTAACAAATCTTAGTTTTTCACTATATGACAAATGTTAGTAAATTTGCATATCTTGCCTCAATTTGTTATCATTTATAGATCATAGTTTTTGTTAATTTTATCCTGGTCAATATGTTTGTGTTTTAAATAAAGAATAAGCCACATTAAGAATGAGTTTCCTTAAAAGAAATTTATCACTACCTTTATCCTCTAGCCTAGCCTATCTGATAAGGCAACACAATTAATTAGTAACTAAACCAGCACACTTGAGAAAAAATTTCATTGTCAACTGAGTTGACAAAAATAATCTGGTATTACAATATTCCATTAAACTGCAACATTTTAGGCTACATTACTCTCTTTGATTATTTTTTTCTGATAATAGATAAAATGTTGTAAAAGATTTAGAAAATACACAGTGATGATTTAAAAGCATTGGTGATCACATGATTAAGAGCTAACCTTTCTTAAAATACTGGTGATTTTACGACTTTTTTCCCTCTATACCAATGTCATCTTCTAGAACTTTCTGAGATGATGGAAACATTATCTAATACAGGAATCACTGGCCACAATAAAGGTGCTATAAAGCACCTGAAATGTAGCAAAAACAACTTAGGAGCTGAAATTCTAATTGTATTAATTATTTAAATAGTCACACATAGCTAATAGCTACCATATTGGACAGTATAGCTCTAAATAGAAAATTTTACAGTATCGGTAACCTCATGTTGGGAGTAGTTTTCAATATTAAAGTATATAAAATATGACTTATATGGCTATTTTATTATATGGAGGAATTATAAATGTGAACATCCATAATTATGAGGTGATTTGATTTCCATTTGGAAATAAATTTTCTCTTGTAAATAAAACAGTACAGCACTCGGTTATCTCCTTAGGAGAGACGCAGAGAGAGCTCTCTGAGTGAAAGGATGAGAACCAGCTGCAGGCTCTGGAACTGCTTGCCTGAAAAGCCCCCCACACTCCCACCAGCAAGAATTCTAGAGTGCCTATCTCATCGTGCTTTAGTCCGCATCACGCATTACCCAATTCTTTAAAAACCTTTCTTTAATTGATAAATAGAAATGATATCAAATGGTGTGGGTTTTATCTCTGGTGCTGGTGGTGGGCATGAGATGAACTGCTTAGATTTCTCTTGAAGGGAGGACGTTGGCCTCAGCTGCCTTTGTGTGTTTGCAGACAGTCTGCCTAGCACCTCCTTGGGGTCTGCCTCCCGCTAAGGCTGTGAGCCCTGGGGCAGCCCAGCCCAGTGACTGAGTGGGGTGGAGCTATAAACACTTGGCCATTCGGATCTTATGTGGGCAGCTCTGATGGGCAATATTCACTCCTGAGCTTCTGGCAGCACTGGCTGAGGCTTCAAAGGACCTGTATCAGAGATGGACATTTCCATCTGCTCAGTCCTACTTTAGCCCCATTGCTTCCACATGTGTGGGTCCCTATTAAATATCTTGTACCTCAAACCTGTCTCAAGATCTGCTTCTGGAGAACCCAATCTGCAACAGAAGTGGTACTGGACTTCTTTTCTCTTTTGTTTCACATTTTTTATTTTTTAATTTTTTGTTGTTGTTCTGTTACCATTGCCCCAATTTCCCCCTTTTGCCCTCCTCTGCCCAGCCCAATGCCCACTTCCACAGTCCATCCCCAGACCATTGTCCATGTCCCTGGGTCATTCATACATGTTTTCTAACTAGTCCCTTTCCCTTCTGTCCCCCCTCCCCTCTAGTCGCAGTCAGTCTATCCCATGTTTCAAGCCTCTGGTTCTATATTGCTCATTAGTTGGTTTTGTTCATTAGATTCCTCTTACAAATGAGATCATATAGTGTTTGTCTTTCACTGACTGGCTTACAAGGTAGGAGCTCCTTCTTTCTGCTGCATTGTATTCCACTTTCTAAATGTACCAAAGTTCTCTTTGATCCATTCATTTACTGATGTGTAGTTAGGCTGTTTCCAATGATCGGCTATTGTAAATGGCACTGCTATGAACATAGGGATGTGTAAGTTCTTTTGAATTGATGTTGGACTTCCATGTTTACTTGCCTTTTTCTATCATATTTGTTTTGAGAAGAATTTTGAGGTCACTTCTGGTCAGGCAGGAAAGAATGCTGATGTTAATACATTTTCAATTGAGAAAAATTATGTCTGAGATTCACAGAAAAATAACAAAGGCAAATATTGATGTATTTGACATAAAACTTAAAAAATTCTGCATATAAAAACACCTTGGATAAAATTTGTAATGCACAATTAGAAAGTTACAATTGACAAAGTTTAATATAAGGAGATCTTACATGTCAAATTAACCCGAGTAGAGGAAACAGCACACTGTCCTGTCTTGCGCGTTTCTTTGGGACGTAAGAAACATTCTGCTAGTGTCTTCTTTTCTTAAACATATTAACAAAAACAAAAACAAAAAAAAACAGGGCTTATCTATTCCTCTGAAACTTCAAGAAATCCAAGACATGGGTGATCTGGAAACAAAAAGAATTCTCTGGTTTGCCAAGAAGCTCAACAAAAAATAACAACATGGTTAATAGTTCTTCCAAATCTCCTGTTCCAAAAAAGCAGAGATAAAAGTGAAGAAAACCTCAAATAATAAAGTCTGAGCTAACCCTATACCTTTTCTCTCTTACAGCCTTACTCACTGATGACCTGACAGATGCAATTATCTGTGCCAAGAAAATTGCTCATGAGACCGAAGGGATGAACTATTGGTAAGAAGCTTTCTTTGGGAGACTTACTCTGACACGTGCAAAACGGCTGCAGCAGACGCAGACAAACTCGTCTCCGCAGTGTGGTCCAACAGTGGGGCTAATGCGATTTGTCTATACCCTGCTCCATCAGAGTGTGAGCGTGCAGTGAACACAGTGGAAGGCATCTGATGGGGAGGAGAGATGGAATTCAGTCACGGTAATTTTCAGTGGTTTTTCACATTCCAAACAATGGGAAAAGACTCGCTTTGTAAGGTGACTTGTAAAGTATCAGTGAAGTCAGTACACCACAGAAACACAGCTTGAGTGTTTTCTAGATTTGTATAAGGTTTGGAGGGCCACGGCAACATTTTATGGGGCAAGAACAAAGAGCAGTGAGAAAATGACCACGTCACACGATGAATCAGCAGGACACTTCCCTGGGATCGCACACGCTCACCGTCATACTACAGCTGCGCTTCTGGAGATCGTGGCTATATCAGATCACCCTCCTGGGGAACCAAAAATTTCAGAGATGTGGGTATTTAACTAAAGGATCCATCTTTATAAAAATTGCTTTCTTGTTGCTGAGGCAAACAATGAGCAGAAGAAAACTGGGGAAAGCAAAGTCTTAACAAGGCAAAAGGATAGAGTCCTCGGGTCTCAGAATCAAATGAAACAAAATCCTGGACACGGTGGGCTATTTGTGTTAATCAGCTGCCATTTTTGAACCTAAGAATATTTGGTTTATCAGGCCTGTTTCTGACGCTCCTGCTCCCTCCTCCGTAGGCAAGGCTGGAAGAAGCACTGTGAGGGCAGGGACCTGTCCAAGTGGAAACGAGGATGTGAGGTTCCATGAGTTGGAACTGGACCAAGAAGGCTTTGCCACGGCTCCCTAGAATGTGTAGTAAGTGTCAAGATGCTCCTGTCATTTGTCCCCCTTTCTCCCGTATTCCTTCTCAGAGTTGGAGAGGGGACTTGAAGCTACATTTTTTTAAGGAAATATTTTCACTTAAATGTCTTGACTTCACCCAACTCTGTTTCAATAACATCAAACACACACAATGGTAAGACTTGAAAAGTCACCTACACAACATTCTAGCCCCGGTGAAACACACTTCTCTTTAATGAAAGCAGTCCTGGTTTCCTTGAACCTGCAGAGGCTGCTCATTTAAAAATGAGTTTGCGGACCTTTGTCCTGGAGCAGGAGGTCATTCTTCTCCTGGGCCAGCAGACACACAATCCTTCCTCAGTTTTGCAGGGCCAGAGAGAAGGTCCCTGCTTCCTCTGGGCACTCTTCACGGGCACTCTAATGAGATCAGATAGGTGCAGTTGCAGCCCTTACCCCCAGTGGTTAGAGCATTCCCCGTGTTATTGCAACATCCATTTAAACTAATCTATCAAAGTTAAAAACCACACTTATATCCTCAAGACAAAATTGCTTCCAGGCTTAGACCTGAAGATTTTATGAGTTTGGTCAGGAAGCTGCCCTAACTAGCTAACGCATGTTTTATTACATGGAACAAGTGGGCTGGGACACTCAGATCCCAAAGAGACATTCCCAGCGTTCTCTGCTCCATGCAGGATGGCTCCTCTACTGACCCCACACGGAATGCTGTGCACTAGCTGAGCTTTCTCTTGTCCATGCTCTGTCCAGCCATGGCAGATGTGGTTGAGGCAGCCTGGGGTAACTTCAGGTAAAAGTAGTGAGCTAGGGTTCAATGCAATCTGACCTCAAGAATGCACTCAACTCAGGTTTGCTGGAGACGTGGTTATGTCTACAAATAAGCTCCCCGCTTAGAAGAGAGTCCCCACTGATCAGACCGATGGGCTTTGTGATAGCACCTAAATGACCCATTAATACTTTGCGGTTGCCAGCTGCCTGCATTTAACTGTTGGCTCATGTTGCATCCATGGGCTTCACTTGTAGGCATGGGCTATAAAACATTTGAACTGCTACTTACCAAAAAATATACACAACTCATATATGTCTAAACAAACATAGTCCTGTGACATCTGAACAGGCACTACAAACCATGGGAAAAGAGCTTTCGAAATACAGGCGGGAACTGAAAAATATTTCTATAAGGTGGATGAAGAAAATTTGGAAAATGTAGACTTCATTAAACTATAGCAAATCAATATTCTGTGCTTATAGAAGTCCATCAGTATGCCTTTCTCAGTATTATTGTCCTACTCCTCTGCCCGGGAGTCCCCATTCTAATTCCAAACCTCCTGCTTCACAGGGTGTTTAATGGGCGTGAGATTTATCGGATGCTCACTTAGTAGGTTATGCAATGTCTAATCACTAGGATGCACACCTGAAACTGATACATATAATATTGTATGTCGATTGTAATTGAAAAGTTTTTTAAAACCAGTGGTACCTTGTTAATGCCCTTGTTGGCATAAGACCCAGCACCAGCTGTTTACAGGCCAGGGGAAAGATTAAAAATAAAACAAAAACAAAACCAATTCCCAAAAGAAATACTTTGGGATTCAAGGTGAGGAGAAATTGGCCTGCCCTACAGTGTGATTGCTCTGTATTTTTGCAAAATTTATAGTCTTTCTAAGCATGCAATCCTACCATTGCTTTCTCTCCTCCAATGTTTCATTGAGTTAGTATTCCCACAAATAATTCATGACACAGAAGCATTTTCTCACTTAATTTTCCACAATTTATGCCCTCAGAAACTCAAGAGGAAAATAGTACTCTTTATCTAGTAAAAGTATATTAAAATAACACCTAAGCTTTATATCCCCGTTTGTTTCTAAGACATTAGAAATAGATTTCCAGTTTGTCCTTATCAGCAGCTTACTGAACGCACTGAGCAGGCAGTTGAACAGCAGGTTGTAGAGATCTGCTATGTGGGCACCTTCTTCCTTTGGGGACACAGCTCAGCTTGACCCTGTTATTCCTCAACACTTTCTGTAGGGTCCACCATTTTTTCCTGATGCCTCCTGAACCCAATAAACCGTTACCTTTGGGGTGCATTTGCTCCTGGTTTTCCCAATCCTGGGAGACAGTGCCACGTTCCATAGCCTAGTCAAGCCCCACCGAGTCCACATGAAGGCTCTGCTACAACCTCCTGTCTTTTCTCTCTGGTCTTTCCTGACAGCTGGGTGTGTCCCACACAATGACCCCGTCAGGGGTTGGTGATCTCTCCTGGTCTGTAAGCTCCTGGAGGCCTGGCTGTGTCATTTACTTCTCTGTCTTCCACAACCCATATTTAGAATGTTTTTTTTTTCAAATCAGGTTCACGTCCAATATTTCAAGTGCTCCTCACAAGCACCTTGGGATGTGATGTAATGTAATCTTCATTTTATATGGAAGACATTGAGATACAGAAAGGGTAACCCTCTCCCCAAGATCCACAGTACCAAAGTGGGGAATTCTGGGGGGACCCTCCACCGCATGGAAATCTTCAGGACTCAGGGAAGGAACAGTTTCCTAGTTCTTTAGAAAGAGAGTGTCCCTGAGCCCCTCACCTGTGTTCATCACCTACTTCCTTGAGTATCTGATGTATACAAACTCTACTGGCCCCTGAAAGACCTAGGAGTAAAGAGCGGGAAATGCTCTCATGCAAAAGGTAATTTCCTCAAGGTGAATTAAAACAATGAAGATTTCATTAGAAGACCGAGAAATAGTTTCTTTGCCCTCCCATAATGTGTGGAAAAATACTCTCGACTTCTAAAACTTGAAACTTGAAAAATACTCTCGACTTCTAAACTTTTTCCAGCTAGAAAAGTTTACAGTTTTTAACTTAAAAATTTTGAATATGAAAATTATTTCTTCCAACTGAGGCCAAGGCTCACTACAGACAGTCCCCTCCCCCGGTTCTTTCTCCCAGGGTTTTCAGGTCCCATATTTCCTCCTGGGCACCTCCAGACAGAGGGCGCACTGTTCCCTGGAGCATCAAGCTGCTAGCAGTTCTGACTGTGCCCTGGTGCCAGGGGATGGAAAGTCACACAACCAGCTTGCAAAGGAGCTGTCGCCTGGAGATGTTTAGGAGACGGGGACCCCGACTATAGCAGAAGCATGTGGGCCACAGTGGGTTTCCTCTGGGGATTCGAGGCACCGTGACTTGGGTAGGTGACCCCCTCTTCCCTTCACTCACCCTCCCTCTCGTATCTAGTTAGTTCCTCATCGTGGGAGGACGGGAAAGAGACATTTGCAGTGGTTCTAAATCACATCTGTTTAAGTGGATCCTTCTGTAAGAGCAGAGAGTGGACCAGACAGTGGGTCAAACAGAAGGCCAGACACTAATAAGCACAGTCTTTCAAGAGAAGGAAAGGGAGAAGGAAGACTAAGAATATATTTTCTTACATGAGGCCGCAACTCGAATGATTTTTACCACCAGGGCCTCCTTCCTGATGTACAACTCACATGAAACGCTGAGTACTGAGCAGTGCTATTTTCCTTTCCTTTGTTTTCGTAACCTTATCAGTGGGGCTCTGATTATAATAAAAATACATATTCATTATGGAACATATGGAAAATACTTTTCAAAACTATAAAAATATTCCCAGCCCTCCATGATAACTGCTACTTTTAGTTTTTCTTGCAGTTTTTTTTCTATTTTTGTATATAATTGGAATCATAATTTTGAATTTTATAACCTGATCTTTTTACTTAGTGTACTATAAAATTTCCCCCAATTAATATTTTCAAAAATACCATACATAGGAACAACATAATAGTTACTATACTGTCTCACGATCATTTCCTCTTTCCCCTATCATTGCATTTTTGGTTTTACCAGTAGTGTTTTCAGACCTGGGACTCTTTAGGCCAAGTTTTGCAAAAGGCTCTTTCTTTTCCCACTGCTTACTCTCCTCCAAACTTCACCGAGTGCTCTTAGTACATGATTCTCATGGGGTTCATCTCTTCATAGATTGCTTGACTCCTTTAGGGATGACTTGACTTCAGACGAGAATATGCAGGAGCCACATTTTCTAAACAATTAGGATCTATGACAGGTTATTCGGTCTGATATTGAAGGACAATATTTAAAGTCGGCACTGCCCTGAAAAAGCCAGACCACATGGTCACCATGCTGTTTCTCGGCCTGTAAAGTGGGAAAAATATATTTGCCGCACACCACGGTGAGGAGGGGTAGCATCGATATCAAAAGCACGTGGCACAAACCAGGCTTTTAATGAAAATGGGTTACTATCATTCTATTTCTACATTTTCTTTCTCCAGTATATTTAACGTGACTTCTAACGGGTACTCAACAGGATGAACTACATTTCGTGTGAAATAATGACATTTCCAAAAAAGAAAGGGGAAGATCTCGTCTGAAAGAAACTGCTAATGAGTCTCTGCTGCAGAGACTCCCAGCCTATGGTAAAAAGTAAAAGCAGTCTCCCGACTTTCCCCAGTAACGGCCACCACACCCCCCACTGGCAACATAATTCTTAGCGAGCAAGAAAAAATAAATCTATAGTTGCCTTGAAAAGCATTCATGCAAAATAAAGCCCAGATTCATAAGTAATCTGACTTCTGCATCACTTTTCAAAACAGTATCCTGTTACTAGCTAAAGCAAACAGAGCGGTTTCAACCCGGCAACTGACAGGCAGTGCAGAGAGGGCAGGTTGGAAAAGATTAAATATTTGTGCAAAACCCTACATCCCCCCTTCACAAAGGGCCGCCTTAGTCTGGATAAAAGGAAACGGGAAGCAGAGGAAGGGGATGCGGGAACTGAGAAGAAGCCTTATCTTTCCAAGGAAGGGTTCGTTTGGGGGAGGGGTGGAGGCGGTGCGCTGTGAGGCCCTGGTCATTGCCACCGAGCTCCTGCCCGCAGCGCCACGGCTGCACTTTTGACCCGTGCCGCGGAGTCCAGCCGCACGGCTCA